CTGAAGTCAGGTGGATTATGGTGAACTTATAACACTTTAGAACTGAAAGCAAAATTTAACATATTGAAATGAAAATCCTAAGATTCCTCTATGTAGATTAACATAAATCCTTTGTTTGATGCAACTTACAACTTAGCAGTGAAATTTAGACACTAAAATGATATTTATAGGACCCATCACTCAGAAGACTTGAAAACTGCTTCTTAAATGTTGGGAAAGAATTTGTTTTCAGTTTATTACAGTATAAATAGCTGCCTGGGTTTAAATGAGAATAGAATATATTTCCTTGTTCTTATTTTTTTAGAAGCACAGTCCAGAATTTAAACTAGATCTGTCTGCTGACTTTGGAAAACGGATAGATGGATAGGAAACAAGGAAAGGGATTTCAGGTAATACACTGAATATCAGTCAGTTTATAAATAAGAGTAGTCCACAAATCACACTCAGAAGAGAGGGAGTAGTAACAATACAATTGGGTAACTTTATTACGATATTTACCAGTTCTTAGATGATCAAATTGTATTCATTTGGCTCAAGTTCGAAATGACTATTTTATAGAATGAAACACCTCTGAAACTATTGATTTGTTTTCATCCACTGAGAATTCAGAGCTTCAGCTTTTACCCAGTCTGCTGTTTAACTAGTGAGCAAAATTCATCAGTGCTATGCTGTAGAAGAGCTTTATGGCAATCTGAATCCTTTTTGCGGTGCCTCAGGCCTATTCTATGATTACCCTTGTTGCCAGGAATTACTCCTTTTTTCCTTACTTTGAATTGTAAAATATTTATCACAGTAATTATGAAAATATGCCTGAAATTAATGTTGGCTATCTCAAAATGCAGATGCATCCAGACTGAAATCCTGCAAACGAACAATTTTAATTACTTAAATGCCAAGTTTAGATTTTGGTGTGAATGGTAAAAATGCTCCCTATTTATAAAACCAACTGGGCGAAAAGTCCAGATAAGAACCACCAAAACTTCTGGTGTTTCCTTTTATAGCTCATGATCTCAATTAACACATTGCTCATCTTTTCTCCTTACCATGCACACTTATCCATGTTTTAAGCAATTAAACGATCATGTACCTTGAAATAACTTTTTTCAAGACTTTTCAATTAAACTTTTGCTTTTGACATCAAAAGTGGAGAAAATTCTCCCCTCCTCACTCCCTTCCACACCCCAGTCTAGTGCTCCTTTGGAGGCCAAATCAGTGACTGGATGGTACTCATAAACATCAACTAAATTTAATATGAAGATTTTCTGTAAGTTTTGATTGCATGCAAATTCCTCAAAAACGAATTGTTATATGTTATAGGTTTTTTTGATTGTTTTACATCCATAAATTGATTTTTATTTTAGAACCTCCATTTTTACGTAGTTCTTAACAGTGCCACGCTTTCATGTGCTAAGAACAGTATTTGCATTTGAAGTTTACAAATTGTGTATATCTCTTAATCTTACAAACGAAAGGAAAGTTATATTCTCTATATGTCATTCAAATGAACAACCAGTTTTGATTGCTTCATCAAAAAAGACAATTTGGCTTTCTTTTGTTCAACAAGGCATGATTGGTACCCACCAGGAAGTACCTGGTATTATCCAATGATCTAATGTAAACCTTTCTTTGCTGGGAACTGTGTTCCTCATATATCAGTTCAAGCAGCATGTTTGAAACAAGGTAAATTTCTGAAAAGTTTCTATATTTTACAGG